ACCAGTATTACACTGATACCAATACCAGACAAAACACTATTAAAAAATAAAAGAAAATTAAAAGCCAATATCCTTGACGAATATGGATGTAAAAATCCTCAACAAAATTTTGGAATATCGAATTCAACAATAATTAATTGATAATTGACAATTAAAATGAACATACACTATAGTCAATTGGGATTCATTCCAAGAATGCAAGGAGGGTTCAACATCTGCAAATCAATCAATGTGATACACCACATTAACAAAATGAAGGACAAAATGCTTATGATCATCTCAAAGGATTCAGAAAATGCATTTTGCAAAATTCAGCATACATTTATGATAAAGGCTTTCAACAACATGGGTATAAAGAAAACATACTTAACATAATTAAGGCTCTATATGACAAACCCACAGCAAATATTGTACTCAACAATGAAAAGCTGAAAGTCTTTCCTGTAAGTCCTGTAAGATCAAGAACAAGAGAAAGATGCCAACTCATGTCACTTTTATTCTACATAGTTTTACAAGTCCTGGCCAGAGCATTTTTGCAAGGAAAAGAAATAAGAGGAATTTATTTTGTAAAGTAAAAAGTAAGGCTGTCACTATTTGCATATGACATGATACCATATAAAGAAAACCCTAAGAAATCAGCCAAAAAACTATTAGAACTAAGAAATTAATTCAGTAAACTTGCAGGACATAAAAATAACATACAGAAATCGGTTGCATTTTATACAATAATAGCAAACTGTCAGAAGGAAAAATTAAGAAAAGAATCCCATTTACAATTGCAACAAAAAGAATAAAAGACCTAGAAACAAATTTAACTAAAGAAGTGAAAGAACTGTACTTTTAAAACTACAAGACATTGATGAAAGAAATTGAAGATGACACAAATAAATAGAAAGATTTACCATGTTCATGGATTGGAAGAATGAAGATTGTTAAAATGTTCATACTACCCAAAGCAATTTACAGATTTAGTGCAATCACTGTCAAAATACCAATGGCATTTTTCACAGTAATAGAACAAATAATTCTAAAATTTATATGGAACCACAAGAGACCCTGAACAGCAGAGGCAATTCTGAGAAACAATAACAAACCTGGAGTTATCACACTACTTTATTTCAAAATATGCTACAAAGCTATAGCAATCAAACAGTATGGTACTGGAAAAAAATCAGACACATAGATCAACGACACAGAATAGAGAACCTAAAAATAAATCCACACATGTATAATCAACTAATCTTTGACAAAGGAGGCAAGAATATATGATTGGCAAAAGACAGTCTCTTCAATAAATGGTGTTGTGAAAACTGGGTAGCCACATACAAATAATGAAACAATCTTACACCATCTACAAAAATGAAATGAATTAAAGACCCAGATGGCCTATAATTATGTCTCATTATTTTTTCTTGAGCCTGTGCCCCTGACTGTGAACTTCACCAGAACTTCTCAGTTTTTCTTCTCTCTCCTTAGGTGGAATAGAATGGATAGATGAGACTGGGATTGTGTATTTCTTTTCTCTCTTGTGGAAGCCTATAGCCAGCTGGAGTTGGGTATTCCCTCTCCCAAAGTATAATAGGCTCTGATAAAACCCAAGCAGATGAGGCTGTGGTGAAGCAGTTTATTCTGAAAGCAGACCTTGTGAAGAACAACAGAATGCTCTGGCATATTTCAAAATGGTTCCTTTTCTCTTCTTGCCAGAAATGAGAGGATACTTTTCCCTACTATACTTTTAGAGTTCCTGAAAGTAAAACTGACAGAAATGTGGGTCCTTATATGATTGGGTTCCCCCGGAGTTTTTAACTCTCAGACTTGTCCACACTAAACCTCCAGCAATTTGTAATTGCAGTTTAGGTTTTGCAGTTTAGGTTTTCCTACCCTTGTGCTGGTTCCCACAGAGGTTTTGGCTCATGGGTTTCTGTTCTGCTAAGTCATGGTTCTTTGTATCTTCTTGTCTGTCCCTCCAATTTTGGAAGCAGTGGTTTTCCCTCTGATTTCGCTTATCTGATGGATCTAAAAAGAGTTGTTTATTTCCCAGTTTGTACAGATTTTTATTTGTTGTTAGGATGGAGTGGCAATTTCTAAGCTCCTTACATGCCAGGACAGAAATTGGAATCTTATTAATATTTTTGATGATCCTTTGACATGATAAGTCATTTTTCTGTTGCTGCCTTAAATATATTTTTCCCTCTGTCTTCCGGCCTCCACTGTTTCTGATGAGAAATCAGCTCTTATGGTTTTTATGATCTTTTGTACATGATAAGAAAATTTCTCTTTCTGCTTTCAGAATGCTTTGTGCATGTTGTTATTTCTCATGGTATCTCTTAATCTCTGTTCATTATTCTTCATTCTTTTGTCTTTATGCTATTCCAACTGGGTAATTCCAGTTTCACTGTCTTTACGTTTGTTGTTTCTTTCTTCTACCTGCTTAAATCAGCTGTTGAACCATTCTAGTGAATTTTTAAAAGTTGTTCAGCTATTATACATTTTATCTCTAGAATTTATATATGTATTTATATTTATATTTTCTATCTCTTTATTCACATATTCTACTTGCTCATTAACATTCTCCTAGTTTCCTTTAGCTCCTCTCCCATGGTTTCTCTCAGCTCTTTGAGCATATTTAAGACATTTAATTTAAGGTTTTTATCCAGTAAATCCAATATACAGGCTTCCTCAGGGATGATTTCTATTTTTTTCCCAGTTACTGGGGCATACTTGCCTATTTCTTTGAATGCCTTGTGATTTTGGTTGAGAACAGAGCATTTGCAATATTGTAATATGGTAACTTTGGAAATGAGATTCTTTCTGCTCCCAGGGATTGCTGTTACTTGATGAAGTCTTCGGTAATCTATTTCTTTAGTGATTTTTCTAAACAGTTTTTCTCATCTTATGTGGTCACTGAAGTCTCTGATCTGTGAGTTCCACAGTCAGTGACCTGGCAGAGATTTTCTTAAATGCCTGAATCTAATACAAATAGAAAACAAATTCTCTCCATTTAAATTATCTTAGCCAATGTCACAGAGGCAGTTTGTTCAACCTGTGGGAATTTGTACAATGGCCAGCCTCTGTGCTGGCCCCTCAGTGATCAAAAGCAAGCAATCAACACATACTCCTGATTTTTGTAAGACAAGGTCCTTATTGTCCACACTAGGACTAGCAACCTGCAACAGTTTTGTGGGCCACTGTCCTCAGGGCTGCCTGCAGGGGAGCTGGTGTGTGAAGAATAGTAGTTGGTATGCCAGATACTGAAATTTATCAACTTCATTCTGATCAAGCACTCTCATGCATTCTGTAAGTGTTCAACTAGACTCCAGATTCCCAAAATAGTTTTTTCAGACAGTTCATACAAGGTCCATGGTTGGTTCGGTGGAAGGAACAATTCTTGGTGCTTACTACTCTGCCATCTTTGTGGCATTACTCTAGTAAATCCAACTTAACAATAATAAGTGTTTTGATTCATGACATGGAATTTGTTTCTATTATTTAGGTCTTCTCTGATTTCTTTCAACATTGCTTTATATATTCTAGCTTACTTTTGATTGGATATGTGCACATAGCCATTAAATACCCAAATTCACATCAACAGATAAAACATTAATATTGGTTTATGAGTACTCTGCTCTTCTTACTGATTTTAATGTAGTTTAGATTTGACAAGCTTAGAAAAGTGTGGAAAGCCAATGTTAATAAGGGAGGTGACTGTCTATGTCTAGGAAGTACACCTGTTCAGAAGGTTAAGTCTTTCTTACTGATGTTGATTACATAATATTAGACATTCCACAGGTCACCTGGAGATTATAAGCACAACATCAAATTAATGCTGACCTAGGGTCTGATTAGAATATATATAAGAGAGAGAGGGAGACAGAGAGATAGATTTTTTGACCGTCTAGTCAAAATTTAAAATTAACCCTTTGTTGTCAGTTCTGTGTCACATAATCCCATTAGTCCTAAACCAAACTTAGTTGTCCTTATCAGGTGCTTTCCCTCTTCCAAAAACCAGTTAATGAGAACTCCATTTAGTCAGTTCCTTGTCCTGCTCTACCTTTACCCTCAATTTCATCTCTTCTGAGAAATTAATGCCCAAACTCTCTGTCTTCATGTTTGTGGTGTTCCTTGTATTTTTAATTCCTATGCATTCCTGCACCTATTTCCTGGAACAAATTGCCTATCACCTCACAGATGAAATATAATGGTGGTCAGCCCCTTCTTGTCTTTGTGAATCCGTTCTCTTTGCCTATAATCTGCCTTAAGATGTGCTGCCATATTAGCTTTGGCACAATTTCAACTTCATAATGAGTCTGTAGGTAATACTGAGTCCAATTAAATTCTTAACAGAGAAGAGAATTGCATACTTTTGATTTATTCTTATTACATCTTCCATGGTATGGCCTTAATTGAGCCATTTATCTCAAATAATATTATGTTTGTTTGCAAATAAGAGAAAATTCAACTAATAATGTCTTAAACAAATAGCTTGTTTATTTATCTTACCTAAAAGGAGTCTTGTGGTCAGCCAGTATAAGGTTAGTGCAGTAGCCCTGAAACATCACAGACTCAGACACTTTACATTTTCCTTCGCCATACTTAGTATACAGGCCTTCATCTTTATGCTTAAATACTGCTGTAGCAAGATGTTGTCTACCTCACCTCCACTTTCACATCTGTATTTTGAGTAAGAAGCAGGAAAGAGAAGTGGCTCCTCCAGGCTTTTGCATAATCTCACTCACAAGAAACATATATTACCTGGCTGACCAACTGCAAAAAGGATGGTGAATATAATTTTTAGGCAAGAAAGCAGCAAGGGGGTAAGAAATGAAGACTGGCTCTACTATTCTGCAGTCTATGATACCATACAGCAGCTTTTTATAATACTTCACTATTCAGCTTCAATCATGGCTTGATTTTATAACAATCTAAGTTATTTTATATTCATTGTAAATAAATATGCTGGCAAACTAATTTGTCAAATAATTGTACTAAATCATTCCTAGGAAAAGCACAATCTACATTCTGAGTTTACTATTGAAAATTTGTTATACACTGCAAGTGATTTATTTGCTGCTGGGATACATACAACAGCAACCACCTTGAGATATGGACTCCTGCTTCTAATAAAGCACCCAGAGGTAACAGGTATGGCTACACGTGATGAACAGGGAGAACTTCAGAATAGAAATCTGGCAAGGCACTGTTAGTGTCCTCTATCTTATTTCTCTTAGAGAAGCTTCATTATTGAAATTTCTATGCAACTTTTTGTAATTTGTCCAAATTGAATGAAGAGACAAAAATGACGCAACTTTGCACAACAGAGGATGGTGACTGAGAGAAGTGAAGGACAGTGTAGGTAGTAGGAAATCAATAAAGTTTTGGTGAACTGCCTGGATTCCATTGGCGGGGGGTGATTTGTGTCAGGCAACAGCCATCATGAATTGGCCTAACATTACATATTAGTTTTCTTAAGAAGAGGCCACTTTGAATGGTAGATATGTTCTTGAAGAACTCTTTCCTTATTCTGAAAATACAGTGTTCTGATGCTTGGGTAGGGAAGATGGAATCTCTTTTTATAGAAGCATAAGTGGAAATTCTAGAAATCGATTGAACTTGGGAAAATTTGTACAGTCTGAAAATATTCTAAAAGTTTAGATAAATAAGAAAAGTGTTATTATTTAGGGAGAAGGCACACCCAAAGGAATTTTTTTATTTCAGAAGTCTGTTTCCAGGAAACTGGGCTTGACAAAATAAGAATTTTAGGGAGCAAATAATTTTATCTTTTATGAACAATGTTATTTTACAAATTTACCTCAAAGGAGTTCTAGTCGTGCATAGTAGACTAGAAGCATCCATTATCTTTTCTTGTGTCAGGATCTCATTGAAATGATTATAAACTAGTTACAAATGAGAATTAATTAGTCCATTGAAGGTGGAGAAGAGGAGTACAAAAGCAGCCAACAAGTCTTCAACGAATTTCTGAAACACAGAGAGCAGAAGGGAGGATGATTACTCCAGCAGAGATGATGAAATGGTAACTTAAATGTCAGAAGAAGATTTATCAACAGGGAAAACCTAATTTTTGTCCCTAAAATCCCCAAAATTTTCACTATTTGGAAATACCAAGTGTCTAATAAATTAGGGGAGAATGAGCCAGAAGGTAAGAGGCTTCCCTCTACAATGTGAACAGGTTTGTACAATTGTACAGGTTCTCTCTACAATTTTTTTGAGCAAGTAATTGTTTTCCTCTCACAGGAAAGAGAGACTTTCCAAAGGAAAGACCTACATTTTCTACCATTGAGATAGAACATTTTCTCCAAGTGTTCAGCAGAGTAAACAAAATAAATCATTGGGCCAGCCTGGTGGCACAGTGGTTAAGTGTAAACATGTTGCTTTGGTGGCCCAGGGTTCACTGGTTCAGATCCCGGGTGCAGACATGGCACCGCGTGGCAAGCCACGCTGTGGTAGGCGTCCCACATATAAAGTAGAGGAGGATGGGCACGGATGTTAGCTCAGGGCCAGTCTTCCTCAGAAAAAAAAGAGGAAGATTGGCAGATGTTAGCTGAGGGCTAATCTTCCTCAGAAAAAAAAAAAAAGTTTCAAAAAGAAATAAATCATGAATCCCAAGAGACAGGGTCATGAAATTTCAGAACATCAGTGAAAAGTTAAAATCATGAAAATTTTCAGAGATAAATCAGGTTCTCTATATATAAATGATTAGGAATCTGAATGGTATCAGAATTCTCAAGTGCAACTATCATCTTGTGTGTTAATAGAAAAGGATAATTTCAGATGCGCATGTTTGCCAAAAATTTAACTCCCTTTTTCCACTTTCTCAGAAAGATGCTGGAAGATATGCTCTGTCTAAATATTAGAAACCAAGTCTGTCATAGTCATGGGCTCCAGGAATCAGAAGACCTCATGTAGGAGGATGGAATTTTCAGGGAGGGTACTCAGGCCCAGACCTGGGAAACAACCAGTTTACATTGTACTAGATAGACAAGAAGGTGTGAGAGAAGTTAAGTTAATAAAAGCGAAGTGACTGATAATGTGAGGTTTGAGTATTTGGAAAATCATTACTAGGAGTTTAAAACCTCTGCCTGAACATTTGAAAATAATTCTAAATAGTCAACTAGAAATTTAGGAATTGATATAAATTGTTCAAAGATAAGTTTAAAAATATGTAGAATGAATAATAATCATGATTATCTTACCAGTGAAGAATATTTATGTGGCTATAGTGGTGTAAACAATGCACATTGATATAATCAAAATTATGATCAAAATATATAGACAAGAGTGGATTGAAGGGAATTGTGTGTCTGTGTGTGTTTGTGTGTGTGTGTGTATCTCTTCATGTGTATTTTGCATGGACTGGAAGTAGAGATGTATATCCTCATCTCTCATACCAGGACTTCATTAAATATTGCCTAAAATTAGATAAATGAATAAATAGAGGCAGAAATGGAGTCATTATTTAGAAATACGTATATGAATTTGAGAAGAAACTGTAAGAATGATTTAAAGAGGCTGAACCTGGGGAGTTGGAGGTTGAAGGGGGTACCACTGCAAGTTGCATACACACACATGCAAGCAGGCATACACAAAGAAATACATATATGTAGATCAATTAGTAGAATTTAATGTATTATTTTGACATAAATTAACATTTATTTCTATTTTTCCTTATGTAGTGACAGTAATTTCTTGAGTTAATTATGTGATAAGTGTTCATATTTTGAAAAATTTAATCATTTCTGTTTGTATTAATTATACTTCATGGTATTATATAGGTATGTAGAGATATATATAATACCTAGATTGTAGGAGAGTTATATGTTTCTATATTATAACAATTCTCTATGTCTAGTTGCACTTCTGGACATATATGTTTATAATGATGTTCGGACACCTTCGTAATTCTTAATGTAACACTGAATTGCTGTGGCAAGTGTGTCATTTTACTCCTTTTCCATCAGTCTTCCTTGTATCTTATCAGCTAAAGTCCAGGAAGAGATTGACCGTGTGATTGGCAGACACCGAAGCCCCTGCATGCAGGACAGGAGCCACATGCCCTACATGGATGCTGTGGTGCATGAGATACAGAGATACATTGACCTCGTTCCCACCAACTTGCCTCATGCAGTGACACGTGATGTAAAGTTCAGAAACTACCTCATCCCCAAGGTAAGATTTCTTTCTCTTATATTGACCTCACTGCTCCTGAAGTTCCCATAGCCACAACATGGTTCCACTCTTCTACCAATACAAGGTGAGAGAAACGCAAAAATCATACATTTGGCAGGTTGAAGGACTTTGTGTTGTATCCACTGGGCTATAAAGCTTTATAACAGGTCTTGGTAGCTGGCAGTGTAAGTCTTCCAAATTTCTTCTGCTTCTTCATTATTCTTTTGCTTACTCTTAGCTGTTTACGTTTCCAAATACATTTTAGTTTCAGTTTGCGAATTTCGCAAAACACTTTCCTGGGATTTTATCAGGGTGACATTAAATCTACAGATCAGTTTGAAAAGAATTGGCATCTTGAAAATAATTGACATGTTGAATCTTTCAATTCATGAATATGGCATGTGCTTCCAACTTATTTGAGCTTTCTTATTTTTTTCAATAATGTTTCCTTTTCAGTGCAACAGCTTGCACATCTTCTGTTAGTTTTTTTCCCAGGAATTAACATTTTTGACACTATTATCAATTCTATAATTTTAAAAAATGCATTTTCTATTTCTTCACATCTAGTATACAGAAATGTAATAAATTTTATTGTTTTGATGACCTTTCCTGTAATAACCTTGCTAAATTGACTAATCACTGCTAAGAATTTGTGTGTAGATTCATCTGGAATTTCTATGTACACAATCCTGCTGGCTGGGTTAGTACTTTTTTAATTGCGGTATAATTGACATACAACATTATATGAGGTTCAGGTGTACAACATAATGATTCAATACTTGTATACACTGTAAAACCATCACCACAATAAATCTAGTTACCAACTGTCACCATAAAAAGTTAACAAATTTTTTTTCCTGTGATGAGAGTTTTAAGATTTACTCTTTTAGCAATTTTCAAATATGCAATTCAATATTATTGACTATAGTCACCATGCTGTGTATTTTATCCACACGAGTTATTTATTATATAACTGGAAGTTTGTACCTTTTGACCCCCTTCACCCATCTCACCCACCCCACAGGCCCCCTCCCCTTTGGCAACCACCAATCTGTTCTCTGTATCTATGAGTTTTGTTTGCTCATTGGTTTTGTTTCATTTCATATTTTCTAGTACTCATGATTTTAATTCCTTTTTATTGAATTACTACATTGGCTAGAATTTCCAGGATAGTGTCCAAAAAGTGGTGCTCGTGGACCTCCTTATTTCAATTTTGAATTCCAGGAGGTGGTGGAGGTTTAACACTGCACGATAGATAATAACGTATTATATACATTGTGGTAGATATTCTGTATATAATAAGAAACTTCACTTCTCTCATTTTTGCATGACATTTTGTCCTGAATGTGTGTACAATTCTGTCAGATGGACTCTGTGTCTATTGATATATTCTGTATTTTGGCCTCCCTTTCTCCACTACATATGCATATTCTAACTATAAGCACATAGCTTGATTTAATCTGCTATATTTTGTTCTGGACTTTTATATTTATATTCATAAGACAGATTAGCCTGCAATTTTGCTTTCTCAAAATTTCCTTCTGAGATTTCTGATATGAAAGTAATGCTGGCCTCAAAAAATGAGGTGGGAAATATTACCTAGTTTGAGTCTGTTTTTATTGCCGTCTCCTCTCACTTTTCTTTTTCTAGCCACTAGTTGCATCCTTGGAATGCCTAATAAATTTTGGTTGAATACAAAATACCATATAGGAAAAAATGGAGTGTTTCAAGGATGTTTATCTTCTTCTAGAAAGAGCTCTTCTCTCCTTCACTAAGCAGTCAAAATGATGTAATGCTTCCGGCTCTGATTCAGAATTGAAAATGAAGACAGTCTAAAATCGACTATGGGTGTCAGCTGACTTCTCTGAGGTTGTCTCCTCTCTGGAATTTTGAGGACACTTTTCATCTTAACAGCTTTCCAATGCCTTCTAACACGTGGTTTTTATATTTATCCAGACTTTATAGTTGCTGCGCTGCAAGCTACTTCATTCCACTTGAAGCTAGAACATATTACTAATAAAATGAAAAATAACATAACTAAAAATTCTATTTCCATGAGGGAAAAAGAGCTGTAAATTTGGTAAGGTTGCAATTACTATCACTATCTTCTGGGGAAGAGGGACTTGAGGACTTTACCAGGAAGTAGTGGGGCTTGCCCTGAGGGTCACAGATCTGATGCAAAGGTTAGGACTTCAACTCCAGTGTTTTATCAACCAACAACAACAACAACAAAAAACGCTACCAGGCAAAGGCTTTTCTTTTTTAATATTGGAACATGAGGGTAAAAATTAATAAAGTTTGTTTCTCCTCCTATTACTAACGAAATGAGAAATAGACTCAGGAATCAGATAAGGATTGCCAGCCTCCCCCATCTACTGTAATATTTGTGGACCTGCTTGAGGGGAGCATCGCATCTGCTGAGCACACCCATCAATTTCTCTGCGGAGCAGATCACCTTGTGCCTGGTGGCTTTTGAGCCTGCACAGCCGAGAGCCCAAAGGAATGACCCATTCCATTCTGCATGGGGCAGCCCAGTATAAAAATATGTAACGCTGAGAATCTGATTCTATCTACCCTCTTTCTAATCAGATAAATGATTTCTTCTACCATGGAATGGAGTTACTGAACTAAGTAGAGATAATGGTCTAAGACAGGAGTTGGAAAACATTTTCTGTAGTGGGCTAGATAGTAAATATCAGGGCATTGGGTCTCTGTCGCCACTACTTAACTCTGCCATTGTAACACAAAAGCAGTCATAGATTGTACATAAACGAAATAAGATTATGTGTTCCAATATTTATGGACAGTGATACTTAAATTTCTTGTAATATTTACCTGTCACAAAATATTGTTCCTTTCTTAATTTTTTTCAATTTTAAAATTCTTGGTTAATGGGCTGTACAAACACAAGTGGCAGGCTGGATTTGAATGGGCTGTGCTTTACTGACAACTTGCCTAAGACAGCCCTGTCCAACAGAACTTTCTGCAGTGATGGAAATGTTCTATATCTGTGCTATCCAATACAGTAGCCAGTAATCACATATACCTATTGAGGCCTGTAACGTGATTAATGCAATTGAGGAGCTAAATTTTTAATTTTATTGACTTTTAATTAATTTAACATAAATGTTAAGAACAGTGTGTAGCATGTAGCTTCAGCATTGGGTAGCATGGATCTAAAATTTTTTCCTAATACCAAGTTAGACATCCTTCATCCTCAACTTTGCAATACTGAAAGTCCTGAAAATACAAATAAAATGTAAGTTTGGTGCGATATCACTGGGTAGTCAAAACCTGGCTTGAATTGAAGTGAACTATTTATATGCTTACTTATCACACTTTGTGTAAATATTCATATTTTGCTTAAAAAGTATGAATATGTTTAATTATATGGTATTAATCTACAATCTTTTGGGAGTATTGTAAATTATACAGTGTATACATCATAATCCTTTGTAAAATGTCAAACAATTCCAAAATTTGAAATACATTAGGATCCATCAGTTTTACTTCCAGGATTGTGTATTTATACCTTGAGGGAAGACAAATGTTCAAATTTAATGGGCTGAAGCAGAAAAATAGGAAGAAGATAAAATTATCTGCCTAGAGGTAATTTTATGATGGATGATGAAGCATTTTGGGGGAAGGATAACTTCCCCTGAGTTGTAGAAAGTCCACTTGTATTTCATGTGCCAAACTTATACCTCTTTCATTTTTTTTTCTTTTTTTTTTTTTTTGAGGAAGATTAGCCCTGAGCAAACATCTGCCACCAATCCTCCTCTTTTTGCTTAGGAAGACTGTTCCTGAGCTAACATCCGTGCCCATCTTCCTCTACTTTATATGTGGGATGCTTACCACAGCATGTTTGCCAGGCAGTGCCATGTCCACACCCGGGATCTGAACCGGCAAACCCTAGGCTGCGGAAGCAGAATGTGCAAACTTAACCACTGCACCACCAGGCCGGCCCCCCTCCTTAATTTTTTAAGTTCTTATTTCTCAGCCAGGAAAATGCATGATCAGAATTATTATTTTTTTCTTTTTGGTGAGGAAGATTGGCCCTGAGCTAACATCTGTGTCAATCTTCTGCTATTTTGCATGTGGGACGCCTCCACAGTATGGGTTGATGAGCAGTGTGTAGGTCTGCACCTCGGATCCAAACCCCTGAACCCTGGGACATTGAAGTGGGGCACACGAACCTAACCACTATACCACTGGGCTGGCCCTGAGAATCACTGTTATTTTTGCATGTAACAACAGTTCCTTCCCTTTTATTGCTGAGTTGTATTCTGTTATGTGGAATACCACAAATTGATGATCCATTCACCAGTAGTGGATATTTTAGTTGTGTCAGTTTTTTGGCTAGCTGAATAAAAGTACTATGTTCATCTGAATACTTATCATTCACATAGTATGAACATTGACATGCAGATATTTGTATGTACATATATTATCATTTCTTTTGGGTAAATCCCAAAAAGTGGAATTGTTGCATAAGTGTTTAAATTTATACAAAACTGATAAACTGTTTTCTATTGTGGTTTTGCCATTTTACATTCCCACCAGCAATGTATGAGCATTCCACTTGCTCAACATATACTCTATCACTTGCCGTGGATAGTCTTTGTAAATTTTAGCTACTGTAGTGGTTGTGTAGTGATATCACATTTTGCTTTAACATCCCATTCCTTGATGAGTAATAATGTACAGCTTCTTTTCATGTCCTTATTGGCCATCTTGTATCTTCTTTGTTAAAGTGTCTGCTCAAATTATATGCCTATTTTCTATGGTATTGATTTTTTGTTGTTGTTGAATTGTTGTAACTCCTTATATATTCTGAATATGAGTCCTTTATCAGACATGTGCTTTAAAATGTTTACTCCCAGTCTGTGGCTTTTTCTTCTTTCAGTCTCTTAAGATCATCCTTCAAGGAGTAGAAGTTTTTACTTTTAATGGAGTCCAACTAATCAATTATTTCTTTGATTATTCTTGCTTTTGTGTGCTATCTAAAAAATACTTGCCAGCAAAAATTCTCAAATACTTACCCCTATCATTTTCTAGAAATTTTATACTTTTAATTGGTGTATTTAGATCAGTGATCCATTTCAAGTTAATTTTTACTTAAATTATAAGGTTATAGTCATGCATCATTTCCTTTTTTAGTAAATGTCCAATTGTTCTAGCACTATTCATGGAAAATATATTTACTATTGAAACTTCAAGAAGCATTTTCACATAGTAATTGTGTGAAAACATAGAAGGGAAAACTTAAAATCAAAGTTATAGACTTTATATATGATAAACTCAGGGGATGGAATTTTGCCCAAGTTTATATTTAAAAAAATTAAAACTATATAAAATTTTAAAAGATATGTGTACATATATATGTGTTATATATATGAAAGTGCATATATGTCTACTTTTATGTCTAGATGTCTATCTATCCCATTTAACGCCTCAATACTTCAGTATTTATCTCTTAAAAAGAACTTTCTCCTACATAACAAAAATATCATTCACATTCAAGGAATTATTATTGGTTATAATATTATCTATTACACAGCCTATATTTAAAGTTTCCCAGTTTTAAAAAAAAGTTCTTTATACTTTTTGTTCTTTTCAAATATAGTTTTCTGTCAAGGAAGAATCATATAATTTGATTTTCTTATCTCTTTAGTTCCCTGTAATCAAGAATGGTTCTCTTTCCTTTGTTTGTTACTTCCCTTTCAATACAATGACATTTTTGAAGAGTCCGGGCCAGTTGTCATATAAAATGTTCCTCAGTCTAGTTCTGTGTGATTGTCTTCTAGAGATTATATTCCAGTTATGATTTTGGCAAGAAAACTACATAGTTAGTGCATACGTCCCATTGAATTACACTGAGGAGGCCGGAGCCCATAATGTCGCTTATCCCATTATTGGCGATGCCATGTTCAGCACTTAATATAATTGTGTCTGCAAGATCTCTCCATTGCAGAGGTTCTGTTTTAATATGTAATTAATAAAAATCTACAACCTGGTATTTTAAGACCTTGTGAATATACAGCTTCCCAAATCATTCACCCAACAGTTTGAGCATTAACTGTAGATATTTATTGTTGAAAAATGATAATTTTTCTAATTTATCATCCCTTCTACCTTTTCTCCTTTTTTTCCCCTCTGGGAATCATCTATAAATAAGAGTTCCTCAACATTTTTAAATGAAAAGAAACAAATTTCACGTCAATGATAAACACTCAATGTTTGTTGTTGCGCTTGTTGTTATCATCCCAGAAGAGATCATTTCTAATTAGATCAGACCTCTGTTTTAAAACTCCCTATGAAAAGATACCTAAATGGTATTTCAAGAAGCTAAAGAGATAACCACTTTAAACCATAATTCACATATAAGATGTGTAAAAACAGGAATTATTAAGTAGAGCAGCAAGTGGGGACATACACCACTGTCCAAATGTGATGTAAGGAATGTAGATGGGGTTCAGAAGGCTTGACATTCAATTCCCCAAGTACATAGTACTTCAAATGTAATTGGAGGCTACTTAGCAAGATCATTGGTACTGACCTTAAAATTATACCTGTTTATTGCTTGTTATGTCTGCCTGGAAATGTCATTGCTCTTCTTTGGACCCAAGTCTGCTGCTCTATAGATCATAAGGTTGAACTAAGTAATGTCCAACATTTCTTCTCGCTCCATGACTTCTTTATTATTCAGTTCATCTTCCTCTGTTCATTCCAGGGAACAACCATATTAACATCCCTGACGTCTGTGCTTCATGATGATAAAGAATTCCCCAACCCAGGGGTGTTTGACCCTGGCCACTTCCTGGACGAGAGCGGTAACTTTAAGAAAAGTGACTACTTCATGGCTTTCTCAGCAGGTAATAAAAATTTATTTCTTTCAGTATATCAAGGGACAGTTACCTTCACAGGATCTGTTAAAATTTCAGTGTCTACTCTTGGGTTCATAGGATTTCTTTTTGTATGTGATCAGGAGTACCACTCCCAATGCCCATGCACTTTCCCACCTTTTGCTACTGCTCATTATTGGCCCAGATTAGTGTGATTTAAAGAGGTGACCTAGTTCTTCCAAAGAAAGAAAGATATAGAATGGTTTGACTGAGTTCCACCTCAAGATACATCACTGTGCCACCCAGAATTATTTCTAGAAAGTTAACCTCATCTAGACTGTCATCACATGCCCTAAGGAAGATATCTAACTTCACAACTTTTAGTATCTCCTAGGTAGTTCCTCTCACCGCTAGGTTGAGTTCTAGGGATACAAGTACTCACAAGCACAGAATGGACACCCAAAGATTTTACACCCCAGTTGGTGATGTAGATGAATACACAGATAATTATAATCTGGTGTGACTAATGATGTGAGTTAAGGAAAGACAGGCTGTTTGTGGAGGAAGGATGGGGTGAGGAAGAAGCTGCTCCCTCATACCACACGCAAAGTGAGGCACAACATGGATTAAGTGACCTTCTAATAGAAGAAAGGACATTTGAGCTGCCTCATGAGAGACACAGGAAAGGGAAAGAAGAGAGGCAGGACATTTTAACAGAGGTAATGGATCACAGGAGCAGGAAATTTGCTCTAGTTTGAGGATGTGAGAGCCCCCTGCCAGTAAATATGGGTCAAGAAAAACTTGAGAATGTGACAGATTATCCTTTAATGATTCCAGATCACCTTGCTCTTCCTAAAATCAAGGTCTCACCTTTGGATATTGGAACCTCTGCACCAGAACTTGTGCTGAGTTTCTGGACATGGTGTTGCCTTCATTCGTTCTTTGGTGTTTGATGCCTACTTTTGGGTCTGGCATTATACATACTAAGATGATAAGAACTGAGACCTCCTTTCAAGAATTCATATTTTAGCAAGCTATAAAAATAGAGAATTATGATTCAAGTTGACCTATGCTTAATTGGAAACATGAATGTGATGCTGAGGAAACCCAGAGAGTGAGAAAACACCTCCTGAAGGAATCACTAAGATTGCAATGAGGAATTGAAATTTGACCTAGTTTTGAAGAGAAATATAAGTTAACTGCATCTTAGCCAAAAGGGACATATCAGGTAAATCTTGAAACTTCATAGTATGTTGAAGATTAATGAAGTGTGGATGTAGACAGAACTGAGAATAAAAAGTGTGAAGAATGCAAGAAAGATCATGGAACATCAGCCTGGGAACAGGGAACACAAGCTGTATGGGTGTGTTTCTAGGAAAAGATTGATGGAACCCCTAATGTCAGAATAGCAGTTATAAACTGGGGATATTTAGTGAAATGCTTGGCATACAGCTGATACTCAGTAAAAATTTGTTGATTGAAGGGTGCCTCCTAAGAGAAGATGTTAAGGTGGATAACATGAGTCCATCTTTTATCCATCTGTCTATCTAACCATCATTCCAGCCATCCTGCCTTCTGTCCATCCATCCAATCAATCTTTCCTCAAATTGCTACTGTTTGTTCTTTTTGTGCCAATCAGAAATATACTGTCCAAGGACTGTATACTCTCTGTGTTTTTTTCAGGAAAACGGATGTGTGTGGGAGAGGGACTGGCTCGCATGGAGCTGTTTTTATTCCTGACCATCATTTTACAGAAATTTACCCTGAAATCTGTGGTTGAGCCAAAGGACATCAATATCACTCCAGCTACCAGTGGGTTGACTTCTCTGCCACCTTCTTACCAGATCTGCTTCATTCCTGTCTGAAGAAGGGCAGACCATCTGGCTGCTGATGTGCCATTGTCTGCAATTTCCCCTTCTCTGGAATATCATTCACCTCTTTCCCTCTTCATCCCTTTCCCAGGGATGCCTTCTCTATCCTCTCATCTCTGTATTACCCCATTCCCTCAACATTCAGTGAACATCCAGCCTCATTAAGGAGAGTGTCTTGATTTTCACGGCATGAATATATTTCGCCTATTTCTCACACTGGGTAGCACTTATATTGGCCACTACATACGTTAAAACTTATATGAATTATTACTATGTTATCAATATTAAACAGTAAAATGATTTTAGCCAGCTTTATTGAGATTTATTTGGCATATAATATTGTGTAAGTTTAAGATATACAACATGATGATTTGATATATGTATGTATTGCAAATAGTTTACCACAATAAGGTTGGTTAACATATCTATCACCTCACATAGTTACCTTTTTTGGGTGGTGAGAATGTTTAACATCTATTATCAGCAACTTTCAAGTATATGATATACTATTGTTAACTATAGCCACTCTGCTATATGTTAGATCCCCATATATTATGCATCTTACATTAGACCTCCTTGAAGTTTGCATTGGATCAACATCTCCCCATTTCCTCCACCTCTTCTAACTCCTGCCCATCTCCAATCTAATCTCTCTTTCTGTGAGTTTGGCTTTTTTAGATTCCACATTTAAGTGTGAATATATAGGACTTGTCTTTCTCTCTCTGACATTTAACATAGCGTATGTCTTTAGAGTTCATCCATGTGGTTTCAAATGGCAGAATTTCCTTCTCTTTATGGCTGAATGATATTCCTTTGTATATACATATCACATTTTACTTACCCATTCATCCATTTATAGACATCAATAGATGATGTCCTTAAGTTGCTTCCACATCTTGACTATTGTGAATAATACTGCAGTGGCATTGGGATGCAGTTATCTCTTCAGGATAGTGATTTCACATCCTTTTGATATATTCCCAGAGGTGAAATTGATGGATTATATGGTAGTTCTATTTTAACTTTTTGAGGAACTTCCATTCTGTTTTCCAAAGTGGCTGTACCAATTTACTTTCCCACCAACAGTGCATAAGGGTTCCATTTTCTCCAAAATCTTTTTAGCTCTCTCTCTCTCTTTTTTTTTTGGTCATAACCACTCTAACAAGTGTGAGAAGATACCTCATTGTGAATTTGATTCGCATTTCCCAGATGATTAGTGGTATTGAGGACCTCTTCCTATACTTCTCTGCCATTTGTATGTCTTCACTAGAAAAATGTCTATTCAGGTCCTTTGCCTATTTTTAATCATGTTATAGTAGTTCCCTCCTATCTGTGAGTGATATGTTCCAAGACTCCCCACTGTATGCCTGAAACTGCATATAGTACTAAACCTTATGTATACTATGTTTTTTCCTATACATACCTATGATGAAGTTTGATTTATGAATTAGGCACAGTAAGAGATTAACAACAGTACCTAATAATAAAATAGAACAATTATAACAATATACTGTAATAAAAGTTATGTGAATGTGGTCTCTATCTCAAAATATTTTTTTGTACAAATGTAATGCCTTTTCTTTCTTAACTAAGCACTTATGACACTGTGGCTCTAACTTTTGAAGTTTGAGGTGTGACAGCAAAACTAACATGAACTTCTTTTTCCTTCTTCACAATTTCGTGGATAGAAGATTGTTTTTTACCATAGATCTTAGCAACCTCAGTATACCACTTATTTTCTTTCCTTAAGTCAAGAACTTTCACCTTTTCATTTAAAGGAGGCAATTTATGGCTTCTCCTCAGCATATTCAAATTGCCAGCATCACTACTCTTGTGTTTTGGGGCCATTTTTAAGTAAAATATGGGTTACTTGATCACAAGCACTGCAATACCACAACAATCGATCTGATAACCAAGACAGCTATTAATTGAATAACAGGCAGGTTGTGTATACAGCATGGATATGCTGGACAAAAGAATGATTTATGTGCCAGGAGAGATGGAGCAAGATGGAACAAGATTTCACCACACTACTCAGAACACTGCACAGTTTAAAATATATGGATTGTTTATTTCTGGAATTTCCAATTTAATATTTCTGGACCACAATTGTTTGCAGGTAACTGAAACTACAGGAAGTGAAACCATGCATAATGTGGGAACTACTGTAATTGATTTATTTCTATTGAGTTTTGTGACCTCCTTATATATTTTGGATATTAACCTCTTATCGGACTTATGGTTTGCAAAGATTTTCTCCCATTTTGTAGGTTGCTTTTTCATTTTCTGAATCATTTTATTTGCTGTGCAGAATCTTTTTAGTTTGACTTAGTACTGATGTGGAAGGTCATCAGGAAGACATGATTGCCAGTTTGGCCCATGAGTTGGACCCAAGCAATCGGAGGCTCCTCTCACCCTCCCCGTCCTTGGAATTTGATCTTTGCTTGCCTTCCTCGTGCTTGAAATAGTAGTGTGGTGTTGAAGGCATCTGGACTAGGTACATGACTAAACCCAGTTAAGGCCTTTCTGTAAACTTTTAAGATTTGGAGGGTGGGTGCAGAAAATTACTCATCTTGTGTCCACCCTAGACAAGCCTAATAAGTGAGTTCCCTTCCTTATTGAACTTGCCACCTATAACAACGAGTGGTCTGCCTTTTTCTTCAGTCTCTCCTTGCTCTCCATGTACAGAGGCCAGTTTCAGATTACATCTGGGAAGCTCCCAGGCAGGTTGTGTACCAACAAATCCCTCTTGTTTATTTTTGCTTTTGTCACTTGTGCTTTTGGTGTCATACCTAAAAAGTCACTGCAAAGAACAATGCCAAGGAGTTTTCTCCCCATGTTTTCTTCCAGGAGTTTTATGGTTTCAGGTCTTAAATTTAAGTCTTTAATCCATTTTAAATTAATTTTTGTGAGTGGTATAAAATAAAGATCCAATTTCATTCTTTTGCATGTGATTCTCCAGTTTTTCCAACATCGTTTATTGAAGAATTTTCTTTTTCCTATTGAGTATTCTCAGCTCCCTTGTCAAATTATAATTGACTGTATACGGGCTTTCTGGGCTCTCAATTCTGTTCCATGGTCTTTGCATCTGTTTTTATACCGGCACCATAATGTTTTGATTACTATAGCTTTGTAATAGAGTTTGAAATCAGGAAGTATGAGGCCTCCAATTTTTTTCTTCTTTCTCAACATATCTTTGATATCCAGGGTCTTTTGTGGTTCCCAACAAATTTTAGGATTTCTTTTTCTTTTTCTGTGGATACTGCCATTGGAATTTTGATAGGGATTGCAATTAATCTATAGCTTACTTTGGATATTATGGACATCATAACAATATTAATTTTTCGAATCCCTGAACATGAGGTATCTTTCAATTTATTTGTGTCTTCTTCCATTTGTTCCATCATTCTTTTACAGTTTTCCATATACAGATCTTTCCTTTCACCTCCTTGGTTAAAGTTAATCCTAAATACTTGATTATTTTTGCTGTTATTGTAAATGGGATTGTTTTTTTCATTTCCTTTTCAGGTATTTCATTGTTAGTGACTAGAAATGCAACTGATTCCTGTAGGTTGCTTTTGTATCTGCAACTTTACTAAACTCATTGATTAGTTCTAACAGTTTCCTTGTGGAGGCCCTAGGGTTTTATATGTATAAGATCATGTCATCTACAAAGAAAGTTTTACTTTTTCATCTCTAATTTGGAAATTTCTGATTTCTTTTTCTTGCTGAATTGCTCTGGCTATGACTCCACTAATATCTTGAATAGGAATGGTGAGAGTTGGCACTCTTGTCTTGTTCCTGATGTTTCACCAATAAATGTGATGTTAGCTGTATGTTTGTCACATATGGTCTTTATTATACTGAAATATAATCCTTCTAAATTGGATTTGTTGAGAGTTTTTATCATGAAAGGGTGTTGAATATTGTCAAATGTTTTTTCTGCATCTATTGAGAGGCTCATATAATTTTTATCCTTATTTATGTTAATGTGGTGTAATGTCATTTTTGGATTTGTGTCTATTCTTGCAGCCTAGGAATAAATCCTTCATGATCCTGGTTTGTAGATGATGTTTTTAGTGTCCTGTTGAATTCAGCTTGCTAATACTTGCTTGATAATATTTGCATCTGTATTCACCAGAGATAATGGTCTCTCATTTTCTCTTCTTGTAGTGTCCTTATTTGTCTTTGGTACCAGGATAATGTTGTCCTTGTAAAATGAATATGGGAATGTGTCTTCCTTTTCAATTTTTTTGATGATTTTGATAAGGATTGACAGTAATTCACTCTTTAAAGTTTTGGTAGAATTCACCAATGAAACCAGCTTCTCCTGGGGGTTTTTTCTGTTGTTGTTGGGAGGTTTTGATTATGGCTTCAATTGCCTTAGTCATTATTAGTCTGTTCAGTTTTTCTATTTCTTCATGATTCAGTTGTGGTATGATGTGTGTTTCTAGGAATTTATCCATCTCTTCTAGCTTATTCACTTTGTCAGCATGTAATTATTCAGACTACTCTCTTATGATCCTTTGTAGTTCTATAGTATCAGTGGAATGAGCCTCTTTATTTCCATATGCTTGAGTTTTATTTCTTTTTTCATGGTTAGTCTAGCTAAAAGTTTATCAATTTTATCTTTCCCAAAAAACAACTCTTAATTTCATTGATTTTTTTTTCTATTGTTTTTCTGGTCTCCATTTATTTATGCTCAAATAGTTATTATTTCCTTCCTCCTGCTAACTTTGGGTTTAGTTTATTCTTTTCTTTCTAGTTCCTTCTGTTACAAAATTAGCTTATTTCTTTGAGACCTTTCTTTTTTCTTAATGCAGGCATTTATTGTTGTAAATTTTCTGTTAGAAGTGCTTCTGCTGCATCCCATAAGTTTGGCTGTGTTGTGTCTTTGTTTTCACTTTTTTTGAGATATTTTATGATTTTCCTTTTGATTTCTTCCTTGACCTATTAGTTGTTCATGAATGTGTTATTTAATTTCCTCAATTTGATGATTTTCCTGGTTTCCTCTGGTTATTCATTTCTAATTTCATATCATTGTGGTCATAAAAGATACTTGAAATGTTTTCAATGCTTAATTCCTATCTCTTTCTCTTTTGTGTATGTACCATAGTATTTTTTCTTTGTAGTTACCATGAGGCTTACAAAAAACATCTCTTAGTTACAATAGTCTATTTAAAGCTGCTATGAACTTACCTTCAATGGCATACAAAAGCTCTACACTTTTACTTCCTCTCGTCCCACATGTTATGCTACTGATGTCACACTATAAATCTTTTTATATTATGCATTCATTTGTATATCATTGTAACTATAATTATTTTTAATACAAGTATCTTTAAAATTTTATATTAGAGATAAAATTGATTAACGCACCAGCAACAGTTTTAAGGCATTTTGAATTTAACTATATATTTATCTTTACCAGTGAGATTCATACTTTCGTATGTTTTCATGTTGTTACATAACATACTTCTGTTTCAACTTGAAGAATTCCCTTTAGCATTTCTTTTTCTAGTTCTAGTTCTTGTTCTAGTTTAGCATGTCTAGTTCTGATGAACTCCCTTAGCATTTGCTTGTGTGGGAATATCCTTATCTCTCCTTCATTCTTCAGGCCAGTTTTCATGGGTATAGTATTCTTGGTTGGCATTTTTTTCCCTCAGCACATTGCATATGTCATCCCACTCCTTCCTGGCCTTTGTATCTCTACCAAGAAATCAATTGATAGCATTATGGGGGTTCCATTGTATGTACTAAGTTATTTTTCTCTTGCTCCTTTCAAACTCCCGCCTCTATTTCTGACTTTTAATATTTTGATTATAATGTGTCTCAGGATAATCTTTGCGTTGATCTTGCCTGGGTTCCTTTGAGCTTCCAAATGTGGATGTCCATATTTCTCCCATGATTTTGTAAGTTTTTGGGCATTATTTCTTTAATAAAATTTTTGATCCTTTCTTTCTCTCTTCTCTTTCTAGGACTCCCATAATGAGTATATTAGTTCCTTGAAGTTGTCCTGTAATTCATACAGGCTTTTTTCACTCTTTTATATTCTTTTCTTTTTGATCCTCTGACTAATTTCACACAACTTCTCTTCCTGTTCGCTTGTTCTTTCTTCTGTATAATTGAGTCTGCTTTTGAAGTTCTGTGTTGAATTTTTCAATTCCAGTCTTTGTAGTCTGATTTCAACAGGTAAATACCTTCTGCTATTGGTTCCTCAGGCTTATGGAATTATCTCTAGAATCACAGTTGTATAGGGTAGAACCTGTTTATAAGCCTATTTCTGGGTCTGCAGTGGATTCTGTAGTTGTTGGGTTTGTTGCTAGGGACTCAGGCAGGCATGGAATCTGTCTGGTCCTCAGGGGTATGGGACCACTTCCAGGAACTTGTTCAGTATAGTGATGATGAAACAAGGGTCTGCTTCAAGGTCCACAGTCAGGTCCTCTGACAGGGGGATTCTTATCAGATGCATGGGTGGGCGTGGGGCCTGCCA